ACACAAGTAGAATTATTCATGACTAACAACAACGAAATTGCGTGACAACAGTGACAATCGCAATATGGCAGTCCCCTAAAGATAACTCCAGATGTGCGATATTGAAAGCCCGAGTTCACGCAGGCATGCGTCTTGTTCTTTTCACTTTTATAGAAATTTGTTATGAGAAAATTCGCCTTTGCACAGGCATTCCTTTATTATTTGGAAAATTATAGAAAAAAACCCGGCAGTAGCCTCTTTTCAGTTAACAGCTAGAAATCTGAAGTCATTGTTCTTCTTTGTACTTCGCCGACTCTTTGTACACCTGAGCGTGTGCAACGCTGTTTCACTAACTTTCATTTGGGAAACAAGTAGTTCGTTATCAGGTCATTTGAGTTTCTTTTCATTATTAAAATCTACCTTCCGTTCCCTCAGAAACTAGCCAGCTGAACTACTTTTCACCAATGGAGTTTTAATGCTTTCTATTCATAGGATAATTTTCCCTTCCTGTCGGTAACACCAATTCAGAATTTCAAATTTAAATGTCTCACTTTTAATTTCCTAAGTTTGTTCTATCTTAATCTCAGCCTGTGTAATTTTAATCCTAGCTCTCTATTTTTAATTTTGGAAGCCTCGTGGTGTTGACTAGAATTCGCTATCTTAAGTAAGTACTTTCCGCTCGTATTGTATACTTGAAGTTACATTAGAATATTGTAAACACTTGACGTGGGAAGGATGATATATAAGCAAGTTAAGTACGTTTGTAAAGCTTTTTCGATTACATCGACTACATCGTTACGATTAAGATTACATCGATTACACCGATTACTCCGCCGAGTATGTCAATTTCACCCTCGACGTTAGTGTGCAGAATAAACTGCTGTTGGACCAAGGATGTCTCTTCCTTGACGTCCGTAGTGAAGACCATTGAAGTAGATCCCCGTGTACCAGGAAATCGTGACGAATTTCCGTTCCCGCAACCAAGCAGTGCTCTCCAAGAGTTAGATTCCTCCAGTTGTCAGTTCAAGTATCCGTTCAGTTCGAAATTTACAGTGTTGCAGGAAAAACTTATCGTCACAGTGGTTTACCGAAAAAACCTATCGTCACAAATTGCACTATAGCCCAGTAATTGTTAATTATTACTATTATTCAAATTATTATCATTATTATCTTTACCATCAACTTCCTAGTGGGTTGGGGGGGGAGGAGTTCCCATATGAAAAGGTCAGGGGTGCTTGTACAAATTTTGCATAAAAAGAAACCCTAAGAGTTATCAAGACCCTATGTCGTGGGCGTGGTTTGCAATTCTTTTCACCCTCAAGAAGTACCAATTGTAAGACAACACATTGTGTCCTGTCAATTTTGTTTTGGCTCATTAACCTGAAAGGTATTGCAAAAGTTCCCGCTGTGGACCTTTTGAGGCTGAACAGCCTAAGATGAACCGAAAGTACTTTTTTAACCCCAAAAAGGTACGATGAGCACCCCCATCCTTTTTACATGGGAGTTCCCCTCCC